CTTTATAAAAAAATAACTTTTTCAAAATTTTATTATTGTTTTTTTAAATCAATGATATATCTGAAATAAATATATAAAATATATGAAATAAATAAACCAGAAATGGATAATTTAATTTTTAAAAATATTGTTTTTTTGCTTTATATTCGAATATATATTTATATTTTTAATAATAATTCAAACAAATTATTGCTTAAATTTTATACCTTAATCTCAATTTAAAATATTCAAAGAAATTATAATTTTTTTGGATCTTTTCAAAGATTTTTAGCTATTGAAAAATATATCAAGCATAAATGATCTTAGATTTAAAGTAATTGTAAAAATGTTAATGAAATATAGATTAATAATTTTAAAAAAATAAGTATTTAGTTTTTTAATAGAATTGCTAATTACTAAAGTTTTTTAGAATTAAAATTTGATTTAAAAATTTAAAAAAAAAAAAAAATAAAAATAAATATAAAAATTCTTTAAAAAATTATTATTCTAAGAAAGATATTATTTGTGAAAATTTATGCAACAATTAAATAGGTGATTTTAATCTTCTGAAAATGCTAAGCACCACGGGTATATTTACGATAATAAGGGAATCTAGTGTGAAAATTGACTTCCGAAGATTTATGAGAAGTGAAACTTGGACAGTAGGCGTCATAATCGATTTGCGATGCCATAATGAAACTACTGTACGAATTTTCACAGAAGTAAGAGAAATTTTTTTTTTTTATGATTAAAAATATTAATAATGCAATATACAATAATATTAATATGTTTATAATATATTTCTTAAAATTCAGAGTTCAAAATATCGAATGTATGATTATTCATACAATTGGCTAATACTGGATTCGAATTACAATCACAGTATTTCACTTTTGAACGATACTGCTTACAACATAATAACAGATGTTGCTCTCGCTATATCGAACAAAAATGGCTTCGATTTGTATGATGTCTTTAATCATTGTAAATATCGTGGTGGTACATTAAATGTTACTGAACTTGGTACTTGGCGTCTTGATTCTGGATTGAAGATATTTTTGACGCAACCATTAATTAACAGAAGGGCTAATATGCATGGAATGAGATTAAAAATATCTGGAGTGGTCAGTTTGTTTATAAAATCTTGTTTTATATAATATTATATTTCCTTTTATTACTATTATATTTTTTATTTAATTGAGATACTATTCTTTTTATAAATTTAAATTTAATGACATATACATATATATATCAAAATATTATTCACAAGTAACAATATATATCGAAAATAAAACTTTAATGATTATTAATTAATATAAACCAATTTGACTAAAACTGATAAAAATAATTGATTTTTACTCTACTTAGATTCAATATAGGCCAAAAGACATGCGACTCGAGGATTACATGCAGGATATAAATACAAGATCTTTAGATAGTATGCATAAGTTTGTGCATGCCATGATTTTACATATAGGAGAGCTTTTTAATTTCAGGTATTATATTAATATATTAATCGTTCGATTTTCTATCATAATGAGTTCTAATAAATTCTATTTCTTTTTTTTTTTTTTTTTTAGTGTTCATGCTTCAGAAATAATTTACTGGGATCGAAACAACGTACACGGTTTGATTTTCGAATTTTTACAATCGAATTATATCGATTTTGCCAGTAATCCGAGAATAATGGTGTCTGAACGATTAGATTATGCTAGTCTCATTGGTGCAGCATGGCCAATTAAGTAAGCAAATTGATGATATATTAATCATTTAACGTAATTATCTAATAAATTATATATTTGATATTTAATTTTAATATATAATGAATCATTAATTGAATATATTGAATATAAGAATAACTACAAAAAATTTTTAATATGAATTATTTATTAAAAATTGTTCAATCCCTTTTTTTTTAGTATTTATAATTTTATTGATTATAATGATAAAATTAATTATAATGATAAAATAATTAGTATGACACGTGTGAATGCATAAAAATGAATTAAAAATAAGGGATCTAATATAAAAAAGAGTTATATTATAAGAATATTATATTACGTAAGAATATTAATATTTTTATATTAATATTCTTAATATTATTAAAAAATATATATTATTATAATAAGAATTATTATTATAAGATTTTTATAAAAAATTTTGTCAATAAAAATTACATAATTATAAAGGTAAAAATTGCAATCTTTTAATGTAATTTAATGTAATTTAATGTGAAGTTAATGCATCTAGAAAAATGTTTTATTTTTTATTTTCTATATATTTAATTCTAAAAATTAAATAAAAAAAGAAGCTTTATAATTATTATGTTATTTAATATATGTTTTTGTGCATTTAATTTGCATTAAAGTGTATAGAAAAATTTTAAAGATTTTATTGAATAATCTTGCATATAACTAAACTGAAAGCAATATAATTTTTATATATCTTCTACTTTATTATTGTAAACTATACTGAATTTCTTAAAAATATCATGATAGCAGATTGAATAAATTGTAATATAAAAATTATATCTTTCAATTTTTATTCTTCACAAAATCATATTATATGTAACAATTATGAACGCTAGACAAAATTTTTTGATAGCTTTCTTTTGAATATATAGAAATTATAATAATAATAGAAATTGAATAATAATAGAAATTAAAATACATAAGAAAATAATCATTTATATATAGTTATAATAGATAAGAATTTTATTATATAGTTATTATTAAAAAATAATATTAGAAAATACTAGAATTAGTATTAGTGGCATAGCTTGATCTTCCATTAAATTGAATTTCATTCAAATAGTGAAAAAGACAAAAAACAATCAACTATATTTTATTCTATTTTATTTATTCATCAAATATGAATAATATAAATATTTCTAGCTTAAAATTTATAAAATTTTTAAAAAATTGACGATTTAATCCTAGGCCCTGTTTCATGTTATTATCGACTTCAACCAATAAGATTAAATTAGAAATTTTTTTAAAACCTTTTACACGTCAAACATGGTACGTATTTGCTGCTTTTGGAATATTTTTCATATTCATTATGAAAATAATAATGAATCGTGAAAATGTTGGCAAAAGAGAAAAATATTCCGATGCAATTATATTATCGGTGGGAATCCTGTCTCAACAAGGTACAAAAATAATTTTATTAAAAACATTTTTCAAAATTCTGAGATCAAATCACTGTTTTTGATTTTAATAGGTGCAAATTTTTTACCAAAACGATTACCAAGCCGTATAGCTCTATTTCAAATAACTATACACAGTTGGATAATGTATAATTATTATTCTGCTAGTATTGTATCAGCTCGATTAAGTGAGCCTCTCGACATGATGGAAGATTCTGTAATTGTTCTTGCTGATAGTAATCTAAAAATCGCGGCGGAAGCTGTACCATATTTAAAATATTTTTTATATGTAAGTATTATTTAAATTTATCATTTTTATCATATTTAAATAAAAAAATATATATCAATTAAATTTCGATATGATAACTCAATCGATCAAGTTTTCTTTTCTTAAAATTTTGTAAACTCCAAAAGATTAATACTTATAAAAAATAAAAGTCTTAAGAGAAGAAATAAGAAAGAAAATAAAATCGATGTTACAATATCGATCATATTATTATTAATAGAATTTGAACTGGGAATCGGACTATTTTCGCAAAAAACGCTGGGATCCTTTACCAGAATCGAAAAGATACTTACCAATAGAAGAAGGTATTAGACAAGTGGGTCAAGGTATTTTAGCATATCATACGGATCCAAATACAGCGTATCCTTTCGTTGAAAGAATGTTCGATTCTAATAAAATCTGTGAATTGACGGAAATTCATTTGTTTAAACAATCGGTAATGGGAATGTATGCCAGTCATAATGGCCAGTTCATTGAAATAGCAAAAATAGGGTAAATAATCTTTAAATATATATATTTTTCATTTAACTATCATATTTATTTAATATCACAAAACTTACTTATTTCTTAAAGATTGACAAAAATGTTTAATACTGGTCTTCGAAATCGACAAATCAAATATTGGTCGTCGAGAAAACCGGAATGTCAACTTGATACTTTATCCACAAGAAGCATCACAATCTACGAAATTGCTCCAGCATTAATTTTATTAGCATTTGGAATTCTCGTAGCTGGTATCATTTGCATTATGGAAAATATTATTTACAATCGTTCCATGAAGTAAGTTCTACTCATATAATTGTATAAATATATATACTCATAAATATATACTCAAATAAGCATAAAAATAAAAATTTATTTATATTTTATTTACTATTTCATAAGGGAAATAAATCAAAGGAGGAAGAGTGAAACAAAGAAAAGTTTTAGCAGTGATAATAGTAGAAATAACTTATTAGATATTATTCCATAATCTTCATAAATTAATTTAATTAATAGATAGAATTAATAGATAGAATTTCATTTAACTTAAATTGAATGTAACATAATATGTATTTCATAATAATTATATTTTATCTAATATAATTATTAAATGTAATAAAAGATTTAGTTATATAATATATACATTTATTTGCAAAATCAATACTTTTTAGATTTTAATTATTAATTAAATATTTAGTTAATTATCATTAAATATTATCGGATTATCGTGTACGTTATGTCAGTTTAGAATCATAAATTGTTTCTTTTTCTAAAGAGCCATGTCAAAGCTGTCATATTTTCTCATGTAAAATGGAAGAAGGGATAACTGTTGGGAATTGTAACATGAACGCTGTATTCAGTCATTCTATGTACAATCGCGAGTAACAATAACAGATGTATTTTCAAAATATCTTTTATTTGCAATTAATTGTTGCATCGTACGCAAGTAATATGGATATCATTCGCGATTATTTCATTTTTAAAAATGTTTCTAGAGTGGCTGGATTTTCTTGTGGAAACATTGAAAGTGAGCTACTTTTTTTTTATGAAAAATGCACATAATATATAATTAAATTAATATTAGATAAAACATATTTTAAATATATTACTTTTTAAACATTATTATATCCTCAATAAATATATTTATTTTATTAATATTATATGAATTAAAATTTTTTTATTCCAAGAAAATTTCATAAACAAAAATTTTTTAAATTATATTATTTTTTAATTAGAAATCGGTTATAATATCGTTTAATATTTCGATATAGATGATTATCAAATTTTTAAGCTTCTAAATGAAGCAGGGATTGGAGTGTCTATTACTCAATTTACATCGATAATGAATATACCACAATTTTTGCATACTACTTATTGGAATTTAGGTATATTTGTGGATCTAGAATGTTTAGTTTCAGACGAGGATATAGTGAAACTTTTTTACGAGGTATAATCATATTAAAAAAATTATATTTTTTAAACAATTATCTTGCAATTTAAAAATTGATTAAATAATTGATAACAATGAAATTGATAACAAAAACGATAATTTAGACTTCAACCTATTACATGTTCGATCATTTACATCAATGGTTGATTTTGGAGAAAAATATGAATCACATACTTGAATTATTAAATGATAATATGTTTAGTATCATTACGGATGTCACAATTGCTATATCAAAAGACAATGATTATATTTTGTATGACGTATACAATCATTGCAAAAATCACGGTGGTTTGTTAAATATTACAAAACTTGGTACCTGGACTAAAAACAATGGATTACAAATTATTTTACAGACAAATAAATTCTCCAGAAGATGGAATTATCATAGGATGAAAATAAAAGTTGCTGGGCTTGTAAGTATATTCAAATAATTATTATATACAAAATAAAAAAGTAAAAATTGAAAAAATAATAAAAAAAATTACAAAATTTATGAATATGATTATCAAATTTATTCTATTTAGCATTTTAATAAGAATATCATTAATAATACAATTATTAATATCACATCACAAACGGTGACAGGCAAAGTATCTAATAATTCATGATGCAATTACCCATACATAATATTGAAAATTTGAAAATTTAATCGATATTCTTTCTTGATATTAGGAATTTTTTTCCGAATTTTCAGAACTCTTAGACATCTTGATCGACTTCAATAAACTTATCGAAGGCTGATTCCAAAGTTGGCCAAAATCAATGTCTAGATAACCAATAGAGAGATCAATTCTCTTTTTTTGCTATTAATAATTTTGAAATATTATCTAATTTGAAAAAGTTTTTAGTCAAAAATGAAATTAATTTAATCGATAAAAAGATCAAAAGAGAGTAAAGAAAATAAAAACATGTCAAATCATGATGATAAAGAACTTGTAACAAACATTATTTAACAAATACTGTGAACAAAAGCTGAATTAGAGTGAAAGTAAATGTTAGTAAATAAATCGATTAGATGCGGACATAAAAGAATTTACATTATTTACATTATTTAACAAAAGTTTAATTTACATGATTATTTACATTTCCAGTCCAATCGCTAGATTCTATTGTACTTCTTATTCTTAATTACTTGTGAAAACAAAAATGATAGCATTTAAATTTCGAAATTCTTTCTATAATTAGTTTCTATAATTTTCTATAATTTTTTCTATAATTAATTCGAAATTAATCTATAATTATTTGTTATTCAACACGAATAACAAAATTCGCAGCTTCTATCTTTCTTTTTTTCTCTTAATTCTTCTTTCCCAATCTAATAATTTTCACTGTTCTGCAAATTGTCAATTAAAATTTTAATAGTTGACATTCGCTGAGGATTTTTCAACTATGAAATTTCGCAAGAGACTATTTTCTTTTTTTTACAGAAAATTCTTCAATTTCATTATCAATTATCATTAATCAATTACAACTTAATTCTATAGTTTGCATTTTTCAAAACGAAATTCAAATTTAAATAATTTTAAAATTTTATGACAGTAATGGTTTAAATAATATGTTGGCCACACACTTTTCTATTCTTTGGACTTTTGATCGGAAATCATGTAAATAATTTTGAAAATAAAATCTTTCTTTTCAATTTTGAAAATAAAATCTTTCTTTTCACAATCAATTTTTAATCAATGATTATAGCACTAATGAATTTGGATAGATGAATTTTAGATACTTTGTCTATCGTTATTTATTATCGCTAATAATATGTTAAGAATTAAAAATTTCAGAATTATTTTCTTTTATACTAAAATATAATTTTAATTCTATATAATAAAAATTTTTTTATAAAAAAAATTCTTTTAAATAAAATATAAAAATTTTATATAAAAATATAAATCGAAAATACTAATATAATATAATAAATTCATCTATTTATGATTCTTTTATATAGGTAGTAAATAGACCTAAAAATCAAAGTTTGATAGATTATCTTCAAGAAGAAAATTTATACGAACACACAGATAATTGGTCTAAATTTGGATATGCTATTATGGAACATATTAAACAACTATTTAATTTCACGTAATTTTTCAATTTTTTAACATCTTTCAATATTATAATTATTTAAAAGTTACCAAAAATTTTAATTTATTTAAAAATTACCAAAGTATTAAATATTTCTAGTTTTGAATTAATAGAATTAAATCATTGGGAAAAAAATGATAGTAATGGCCCATTAATTGCTGGTTTCAAAAATGGCATTTATGATTTAGGATATTTTCCATCAATTTTGACAAAAGAAAGATTCAATTATGCAGATGTAATTATGCAAGTTTGGCCTGTAAGGTAATATATTTTAAAATATTTAATTCCTAATCATTTATAAATTTAATATATTATAAATGATAAGAAAAAACGATAAATTTGCAATGTTAATTACAAAATTTATAATAATGTACATACGTACATAATATATATATATATACAATATTTTGAATTTGGAATTAAAATGTTAATATTATAAATTTTTATTAATATTTATTTATTAATATTATAATTATTTTATTTATTAATTTTTATTTGTTATTTTATTTTTATTTATTATAAATCTTATTTAAAAATTTATAATCATATATATTTCTTCACAATTTTTTTTTATTTTTTATTATTTTTAGCGAATATTTGAACTTTTGAATTATAATATAATTTGAATTATGCAAAATATAATTATGAAAAATGCAAAATAAAAAAAAAAATAATACAAAATAATTTTTTTTCAGAACATGCTTTATGTTTCTTACTGTACCTTCATTAAAAGTGAATATGAATATAATCTTTAGACCATTTGCAAGAAATGTTTGGTATATGATTTTATTATTAACAGTCACAATAATTCTCAGCTTATGGATTATTCTGAAACTTGAAAAAAATGATTCTGCTTATGGATCAACAATTCTTATTATTATTGCTGCATTATGTCAACAAGGTTTATCAATAAACCTTATAATATACCAATAAAATTCATAATGAATTGCATAATATTAATATTCATTTATTATCAATTATTTAATATAGTTATTTACTAACATTATTTAAATTATTTGGTTATTTGTAATAATAAAATTTTGATGAAAATTTGATCATCTTTTATAAAGTAAATATTGCTATAGCATTATATTTAATATTTACATTTAATATTTTTGATATTACAGGTTTACCATTTTTTAATAATCAATTTTCAAGTCGTATTGCTTTTCTTCAAACCATGATTTTTGGTTTACTTGTATATAATTATTATTCAGCAGCTATAGTATCCAGTCGATTGAATGCACCTTTAGATAAAATGAATGATTCATTATATTCATTAATAAATAGTCGAATGAAACTTGTAGCATATAAAGATATTTATTTTAATATTCTATTGCATGTGAGTTCGAATCTTGCATGCAAATAAAATTAGAATTTTTTTATAATTTTGTTTTTATCATGTATAAAATTAAATATTAATTTTTTATTATTGAAAAATATTTTCTTAGTCTTCTATGGAAGAAGTTCAATATTTTAAAAAATATTGGGAGAAAATACCAGAAGAAAAAAGATTTCTTTCAATACAAGATGGTTTAAAAAAAATGACGACAGCTAAATTTGCTTACCATGCAGATCCTATTAATGTTTATCCATTTATAGAACGTGTTTTTGATAAACAAATGATCTGTCAGCTTACAGAGGTTCATTTACTTCGTCCTTCTTCATTAGGTTTGTGGTCAATGCGACATAGTCAATTTCAAGAGATAACAAAAATAGGGTAAGAATTTCGTAAAAATAAATTAATAAAAATAATTTGTATATATAGTATATATTCTTTTAATTAAATTAATATTTATATAATTATAGTCTTATTAGGATATCCACTTCGGGGATTCGGAAGCGAGAAGTAATACGTTGGACTTATAGGAAGCCTTATTGTGATAAAGATAAACACTATGTATCAAGTATAACGATTCATGAAACAATACCAATTCTACTTGTTTTATGTTTTGGCATTATTTTATCAATTGTTATTTGTTTTATAGAAAATATAATTTTTTACACAATTAGAAAAAAACAAAGACAAATAAAAGAATCTGAACTCCGATTAAAGAAAAATAATCAAAAAAATGTAGGTAAAAGTAAAACTATAATAAAAATAAAAAAATTTATGTATAAAAAGATTAATAAAAAAAATTAATTTTCCAATAATAAATTTCTTTTGTAAAAGTGAATGAATTATATTTTTTTATTATTATTATTATTATTTTTTAAGAAGAAACATTTGATAAATATTATAAATTAAAATTTCATTTTTTATATATAAATTATAAATTATATTATTATATAAATTATAAGTTAAATTTATTAAATAAACTATATGAATTACATTATTTGAATGTAAAAAAAACTATGTACTTAATATTATTCCGAAGTGCATATGTTGTAATAAAAAATATACAATTTTTTATTATACTAAACCTTGAGGTTTTAATGATGTAAAATGTATACATATTGATTGAGTATTTATTTATTTTTTCTTTTTTGACTTTTTCTCATTTGAAGTAGGAGCTGTTCCAGTAAGATCTGCTAATTGTTTTTTGAGTTTTAATAATTTTTCCACTTCAGGTTGCCATACTGATTTTTCTTCTTTAGCTTTCAATGTACGCACAAGATTACCCTAAAAAACAAAATCAATCGTTTTTATAAAATATATATAAAAATAATTATAAAATTAATATGATATTATTAATATATATGTATATGTATATATATATTAATGTATATTATTTACCTGCATAGCAATAGCTGATTCCAAACTCGCTATGTCCATTGAAACATCTCCATTTTGTTCAGGTACTAAAACTATTTCAGGCTTTTTATTTTTCGAATCAGAAGACTTATTTTTTTCACTTATGAGATCAGAAAGTTTCTTCTTTAAATCTGAGAAAATTTGTACTTGACTGGACTGCCAACCGCTTTTGTCATGTTTGGCTTTCAATTCTTTAACTTTAGTATCCTAAAAATAAAAATAAAAAATATATATATATGTACATATGTATATAATACATATCAACTATCATATTACTTTTTTATATTATTATTATATATTTTATATTATATATTATTATATAAAATATTCACTGACCAGTTCTGCAATTGCATTGTCCAAAGATTTTACATCGCTATGTTCATTTGTAGTTTCTTGTTTACCAGCATATTTTTTTCTTAATGTTTCTATATTTTTATCTTCTATTTTTTTAAATAGAGGAGACGGTTTACCAATTTTGTGTGCCGTTGGAAGTATATTTGTAATAAGATCAGGAATATAACCATAACTATTGGTGGCTAATCCTAATTGCGATCTTAATTCACGAGCAGTACTGGGCATAAATGGAGCCAAAAGAGCCGATAAAAGACACGCCATGTTACAGCTAATACCGATGATCGTTCCAGCTCTTTTTCTACACATAATAAAAAAAAACAAAATTATTTCACATTTAAATTGAAAACGATAACGCCACTTAATTCTATTAAGCGAGTGTTATTCATAAGTACTAACAGACCTGTAACATAATTTAATACATGAAAGTTGATTAACAGTCACAATCAGTTTATAGGACTTATTTTACAGCATAAAATTAACTCATGTAACAGCAATCCACATTGAACAAGGGTACCTAGGAAATAAAGATTTTCTAATCTCTAATATAATTAAAATCAATTTTTTCATTTTCTCAATGAAATAAAAATAACAAAAATAAAATACATAAGCATAAAACATGCAATGTCTCAAGTCCTTATAAAAAAAAAATATAATAACATTTTAAAAATAAAATATTTATATGAAAACACATAAAGACCTATATTCACGAATTATATAATGTTATTAAATATTTAAAACTAACATGCCACTTACTTATCATTATCAGTTCCTTTGATTTTCACCCATGGTTCTTGAAACTGCATATATTGATTTCCATGTTTTGAAATTGCTAAAATATGTTTCAAACCATCACGTAATTTAGCTTGTTCCATAGCATATATGTAAGATGATAATTCACGTTGAGCCAATGCCAATAGTATCAAATCATCTTCCTGAAGTTCTATTGGTGGTATTTTAGATTCAAAATATCTTTCCACAAATACCAAAGCCCTGTTTGTTAAAAATTTTATTAAAAAACTAAAATTAGAATTCAATATTCTTTATCATGAAGAAACACATACCTATTAACAAAATTTCCAAAGTTGTTTAATAATTCACTATTATTTTTAGTTGCTAAATCTACCCAATTAAAATTTGAATCTTGAGTTTCGGGTCTAACATATGCTAGATAAAATCGCCATACATCAGATGGTATACCTGTATCTCTAGCATCAGTTCCAAATACTCCAATACCTCTCGATTTAGAAAATTTTGTATCTTCATAATTAAGGTATTCTAAAATTAAATTATTAATAACTAGTGATTTAAATAAAAAAAATAATATATTGTTCTTTTTTAATTTAATATATTATATATTATATGTTATATTATATATATACCTGTTGCCATTAAATGTTTCAACAATATATAATCTTCATTAGCTGCTAATAAGGAAGCAGGAAACATGATTGCATGAAATGGAACATTATCTTTTGCCATAAATTGATATAGATCAACTTTTATATCTTTAGGTTTCCACCATTGCTCGTATTCTTTTGTATATCTTTTTGTGATACTGATATAACCAAAAGGTGCATCAAACCAAACATAAAATACTTTATTTTCAAAACCTTTTACTGGAACAGGTATACCCCATTTTAAGTCTCTCGTTATACATCGTGGTTTAAGTCCATCACGTAACCATGGTTTTGCAACTACTCTTGCAACACCTGACCATCCCTTTTCTACAGTTGACGACCATTCCTTTAACTTATTTTCTAACTGTATAAAATAATTTTTTGATTAAAATATAATACATATATAATAAATAATTTTACAAAATATATTAACAGTACTTACTTTAGGTAAATCTAGAAAGAATTGCTCCGATTTTTTGATAATAGGCCTATTACTACATACTTTACATCGCGGAGATATTAAATCTGTTGCGTTTATTAAATGACCACATCCATCGCATTGGTCACCACGTGCATCTTCATATTTACACCTTGGACAAGTTCCTTCTACAAATCTATCTGCCAAAAATCTATCACAAGACTCGCAAAGAAGTTGATCTACAGTTTCACTTAATATATAACCTTGTGATTTAATTCTTAAGAAAAATGTTTGCACAATTCTGAAAAAAATAATAACTATATTTATTATAATAATATTTATATAAAACAATATCTATATAACATGCAATAATATACATATTTTAAATAATATAAAATCTTAAAAAATTATATTTTATTATGAAATTAATATAAGATGTATCTATATCTAATATAAGATGTATCTTACTCTGTTTGTTCAGGTGTCGTAGTACGACCAAAATAATCAAATCCTATATTAAACCATCGATAAACATCATTATGTATATCAAAAAATTTGTCACAAATACTCTGAGGCGTCGTTTTTTCCTCTAAAGCTTTAGCTTCTGTAGCAGTACCATATTCATCAGTACCACTAAAAATTTTTATTTTTATTATAACATTCGAGTTAGTTAGAATTTCAAAGAATGATAATGTTATTATTACTATTATTATTACTAATATATCATATATGAGAAAAAAATACATACCTAATAAAAAGAGTATTATAATTTCTTTGTCTACAATATCTATAAACAAGAAATTTATTTGAAAATATATACATATATTTAATATTCTTAAAATGCTGTTGAATATTATAAGACAAACCTGGCAAAAATATCAGCAGAAAGAACACAACCAATAATATTTCCTAAATGAGGAACATTGTTGACATAAGGTAGTGCTGATGTTATTAAGATATTTTTTTCATCTTTTTTTGGTAATCTAAAAATAATATATTAATTATATTAATATATAAATTTATGTTAATTACACATTTATTACTCCTTTTAAAATACTTTGTTTACTAATATTTTATTATTAAATATTCAAGCTTACACAGGATAAGGAAAATTCTTTACATCAGGATATAATATAGACGACCAATTGCTTGAAATAATATGCATTTCTTCTTGACTAACTGCTTCTATTTCTTTTTCTTTAGTTGGACTAAGCTGAATCTAATAATATTTATATAAGATATTGAAAAATTATAGTAATATCTAATATATTTTAATAAACTTACATCAGCTGATTTAGGAGATCGAAAATTTTGTATAGTATTAATAGGAAACCAAGATACAGCTTGAATACTGAAAATAGCTTTCAAACCCCTTTCAAATTTATATTCTTTGATAGAATCCTAAAATGATTAAATTTAAACAAATGTGATATTATACGATTGTAACATATATAATAATAAAAAAAACCTGAATAATTGGATGTGATTCAATATTGGATATCCAATTATTAATATGTTGATATTCTCTACATAATTCATTTCCAATTTCTGTAACTAATACAGTAGACCATAAAGTTACCCAAATACATATATCTGCTAATGATAAATCGTTATTATCCTAAAATGATTTTAATCATATCTTAATATTACAATAAAGATATAATTAATAATTAATTTTATAATAAATTAATATGATTTTAATTAATATAATAAATTACCTTAATTAAGTACTTTTTATCTTTCAATACATTATTAAGTTCTTCTAATAAAGACCATAAATCTGATTTATGTGTAGTTTTATAAATTCCTGTACTACCATAAAATACTATAGCTGACTGTACAATATATGATAATGTTTTATTAATCTATCATTATTATATAAATAAATGTTTATGACATATTAATTATATTTTTACCTGTAATTGAGATATTTCCCATTCTAACCATTTGCTATTAATAATTTTTGACTCTTCTGATGGAGGTATTATAAGTTGCATTGCTGCATTAGTACTAAATAATACTAATCCGGATGATAGTTCAATGGAAGGTAAACGGCCTAAAAAACTTCCTATACATAAAATAAAAAAAATATATTTTACAAATTACAAATCTATTATTAATTATATAAAAAAATGTATAAACTAAAGAAATGATTTTTTTTAATGTTATATTATATAAATGATTATTAAACATATGATTATTAAACAAAAAATAAACAATGCTTTAATATAAAGCATTTTATTTAAATAAAATTATAATTTCATATCGCTATAATTTCAAAATTAATAAATAATAATATTTGAAATATAAATAATATAATACATTATCTATTAAATCATTAATTAAAATTAAAACTATTTAAAAAAAAAACTATTTTATAAAATTTAAAAAAAAATTAATGAATTTAAAAATTATAAAAGCAATATAAATGAAATTGAGATATGATATTTCATCATATAATTAGAAAA